GTGTGTGTGTGTGTGTGTGTGTGTGTGTGTGTGTGTGTGTGTGTGTGTGTGAGCGCACACCTGTCACATGGAAGGCATCACACATGCCTGGATGGTGCTGTGCACATGTGCGTGTGTAAGAGGGCTAGCACCCCGTGTGAGAGGGGGGAAAATGGGGTGGGTGTGACAGGGAAGGAGGTGTGTGTGTGTGTGTGCATGTGTGTGTGTGAGGTGGGGGGGTGTGCCTGCACCAGAGAGGTCATCATGTGTGTTTGCACATGTATGACAGGCAGGGAAGGACAGCATGCATGTGACAGGGGTTGGTAAGGGGATTATATGTGTGGGCATCACGGTGAAGAGACTGCATGTGCGTAACATCTTGTGCATGAGTGTGTGTGTGTGCATGTAGGGGAGGACACTGTGGGCAGGGGTGCGACAGTGAGGACAGAGGGTATGCATGATCATGCCCTGTGGGGAGGCGTGGCACAAAACAAGCCTGGCCATCACATGAGCGTGCAAGGGCAGCCCAGGAGCTTCTCACAGGGTGGAAGGGCACACGTGTGCCATGCAGGGCACAGGCGTGTGGCTCCCTCCACCCCACTATGCCTCAGCTCAGTCCTCAAGCAGCTGAAGGCACCGCCAGCCCTGACCTGGCCCCGGGCAGTGGACACAGAGCCCCCAGCCTGGCAGCAGGCCCCTGGCCCAGGCAGGTGGGGAAGGAGGTGGCAGAGGCGAGTGGGTGAAGGCAGCAGCCTGGCAAGCGACCACGGTGTCCCTGCAGCAGGGCGGCAGCAGGTGCTCCACCGGCACAGCTCAGAGGTTTTTCGTCCTCGGGGGCAAGGGAGGATGGGGTGTGGGGGCTGGGGCTGGCGGTCCCCCCCGCGCTCACGGCGAGGTGCTGGCGGGAGTGTGGCTGTGGGAAGAGGTTGACAGCAGCTGGTTCTGGGAGGGCGCTGGGCTCGCCTGCCCATGGGTGTTGCCCCCGCCGGCGCTGCCGGGGGCTCCGGGCACCGCTGGCCGGCGAGCGAACAGGACACCTGCGGGCAAACACATGGGTTATGGGAGCTCTGGCAAGGCCCCATGGTGCAGCCTCAGGTCCCCGAGCAGGGAACCCCTCTGCATGCCCTCCCCACCAGCCCTGTCCTACCCCCCAGCTCGCCCCACCTGGGCCTGGTGCTTGGGGAAGGGGTGAAGGGCAGTGGGCCGGATGCAGGGGTTGTTTATCCAGCCTGACCTTTGCAGGGAGTTAAATATTTAACTGCTGTCAGAGCCAGTGTCAGGATTTAATTGGGACAGCTCAGCGGGGTGGGGAGGCGGCTGCAGGGGGCCGCAGGGTGACCCATTTAGCCCAGATGAGAAACACACATGCACACACCACACACTTGCACACAAACATACACACACATATATGCACATGCATGCACACACACACTGGTAAGCACACACGTGCCTACACGTGCGCACACACACGTCCTTAGACGTGCATACATGTACACAGGTACATACATATGCACACACACGCGCACATGTGCACACATGCATATGCATACACACAGCCATATGTGCATACA